GAATCTTACCAATAGGCAGATATATGGTTGTTTCTGATTTTCGTTAGACAACAGTTCCATTGATTTTGATGTCTAAGAGAGCGAAGGAATATGCAGGTAGGTCTAAGGTATGATTTGATGTCTAAATAAGAGAGCAATGTGATATCCAGGTCGGTGTAAAGGATGGTATTGCTGTTCTTGTTGTCGTTTATATTTCCTGTTCACATGGATCTAGACCTCCTTTTGATCAATTTTAGTGAAATAAAGATTGAAAAAATTTGTAAGGTATGTATATATACTTTAGTAAAAGCACAATTTTCATTATTTAAAGACATTCTATGAAAACATTTAAAAAGTAAAGCTACTACGTAATTAAGACCGCCCCCAATGACCCCATGCATTCACTCATCATATAGAAAAGGCATTTGGAGCATAGAATTGTTATCAGCCAGAATCAGTGGCAATGTCCCTTCTTTTCGTTTTTCATTTTGTTGCACTGTTTTCGGTGGGTCTTCAGTGTTAATTTCGTGGTTACAAATTTTAATATTGACTGTGAAAGAGTTATTCAATTTTGAAGTGTAAATTGGCTCACCTCTGTAACTGACTATTAAGGCAGGGATGTGGGCTTTGAGTCATTAAATGACTTTGTGAATAGGATTGTGTGAAGGTCTTGATGGACTTTAGATGGTTCTTGACTGGTTGAATCTCAGAATTTCATTGGATGAATTTCGAGATATTTCTCGAATGCTGACTGGCCATATTGGGCAGCTGGACCAGTTGTGCAGGTCATGTCACATGATCTTGGTTCGTGGATTGTAGAGGACGCTCACTGATGGCAGCCTTCCTCTTTCTTAATTGGGATAGGAAATTTATGTGCTATATTGGAGACTTAATTTATCCTTAAGATACCATTAGATGGATTAAGCAAAATGTCTTAACAAAAGGCGGTTGATAGGAAATTATTTTTAGGAAACCTGGTGAAGTCTATTTGATTGGAGAAGGCGGTGACTGAAAATTTTGAATGTTAGCCAGTGAAAAGATTAAGGCATCAACGAAAGTGCAATTCTATTCTTGGGGGTTTAATGCAATATGGCACTAAAGTTTAAAATGTTTAGAAGATGTAACAAAAGATGGGTCCCCCGTGAACATGTTCCTTGATGGGGTAGGCTCTCTCTCTTTACATAAAATCCACAATACCCCAGCTTCACGCATGTCGTGCTGTTTATTTTGCTTAAATCCACTAAATTAGACAGCTGCCCCTGGCTTCGAAGTCGGGGTCCATAAGTGATGTACCCCGGTGGCCTGTGGCAGATTTGGTTGTAGTTTTTTGCTGACGAGATCCTTACGATGAAAACCCTAGACTTCATATTACCCATGCTTGGCATTTACTGTTCATTCCTCATTGTGTTCTTTTATATTTTTCTCTACGGAGTTTGTTTTTTAATTTTGAAGTCTTACACCCCCTTTGTCGTTCTTCATTGCTGACCCAGTCATTTTCTGTCATCATTTTTTTACCGCTGTCAACAAATTATTCAAGCATTTTAATAGTTGCCTTTGCCCAATTTCATTGTAATTATAAGTTCCATACTAGTTTAAAAGATGTGAACTCCACAGCTCTTTTGAATCATGAAAAGGTCAGAACTTTAATTATAGGGAATAAGGAACGATAATACAATTTCTTGTTGCAAAGTTTACCCAGGACTAAATTTCTGTTTCCTGGGAGATAAAAGGCCAAACTTGTTTCTTATGGTTAAAATTGAATATTAAAAAATTATCAGGTTTAGAGTTATAAAGAAGGTGTAGTCTTGTTTTTCTTACAATTTTAAGTAAGCAAGAATAAATAGGTTGTTCTATTTTAAAGTATTAACTGTTTTAAATGATTTTTTATTTTTTTTTCCAGATATTCCATAATAGGTACTTTGCGACCCAGATCCTTTTTTAATTTTTGTTTTCTTTTCATCAACATAACTCATTAACCTATTGGAATGTTTCAGAGGGAATCATGCCTAAGGTGAAGACGAACCGAGTAAAATACCCCGAGGGTTGGGAGTTGATTGAACCTACTCTACGTGAACTACAAGCACAGATGAGAGAAGGTCGTTATTTTTTTAAATATCATACCAAAGTACCTCGAATATTTTTCTGTTATGTACAAATTTCATATTTAATGTTACTTTTTTTGCTTCTGGCAATTTTTTGGCAGCTGAGAATGATCCACATGATGGTAAAAGAAAATGTGAGGCCTTGTGGCCTATCTTTAAAATAGCCCATCAGAAAAGTCGCTACATTTTTGACCTTTATCACAGGAGGAAGGAGATTTCCAAGGAATTGTATGAGTTCTGCTTGGATCAGGGTTATGCAGATCGTAACTTAATTGCAAAGTGGAAAAAGGTTTGTTAACAATGTCCCAATATTTATCATGGTACTGGAAATATGAGTTCTATCATGTTTCACCTTTGTTTTCCGAGTTTTCTGTGCAATCTGTATGCTCTCTCTCTAGAAAATCAAATTATAACTTTTCGTTTGCTCATTTGCAAATTCTAATAAGATCGTTGTACAAAATGTTATTGTAACCACTCAAGCATCGTGCCCGGTCGTTCTTGTACGTACTGTCCGCTTTGGAAGAGCATCTGCCCACTTATTCTTCACGACTTTCTGTCGAATTTCTTAGAATTCAAACACATAAGCTCTCTTTAAGAGAGATTGGAATTCAACTTAAGTCATTCTTAAGGGAAAGGTCAAAAGTTTGAATACTGGAGACACGATAAAAATTTATGAGCAAGTAAGTGGGTGGATATCCTTCTAGAGCGGATAATACGTAAGTTAACGGTTTGAGTACAAAGGCTGGGTCATTATAGTTACACTCTCAAAAGAAAACAATGGTTTAAAGAGGAATATTTGCAGTGTGACACAATTCAGCTTGTTCAATTTCTAAATTTTTGGGAAAATCAAGAGGTAATTTGCTTTTGGTTATTGTGAAATTGGAAGTATGCAGTGTAGTTCTCTAGAGGTGCTCGTATATGCTTACATTCCAAGCTTTATACAATGAATTCACATACAATTATTGTCTTAACTGCAGCCTGGCTATGAAAGGCTCTGCTGCTTAAGATGCATGCAACCTCGGGATCATAACTATCAAACTACGTGTGTGTGCCGAGTGCCAAAGCATCTGCGCGAGGAGAAAGTTATAGAATGCATGCATTGCGGTTGTGGGGGCTGTGCAAGTGGAGATTGAGAAGTTCAGATAGACGGCCCAATTCAAGCTACATGTATCAGTGGGGATAAATGTAAATCGATGTGAAAGAGATTTAGAGATATAGATATCCTCTTTTAGGGAGAAATCTTGCCTCTAGTATGTAGTATGGTCTCTTTGTTGTGAGGGCTAATGAAAACTTGCTTACTCTTACCTGATTTAGAATTATCAGCTCTAATTTCGAAACAACTAGGAAATGTTTTAGAACTTTTGTACCATAAATGCTTTTGAAATTTCCTTAATCTATGTCTAGCAAAATTTAGAATTGCTATTTTCATTCCTTGTTTGTCACAGTTTTTCAATAGTTTAAAAAACAATAGTTTGTTTTTTTAAAGTTATTTGTGAATAGTTACCCATTCAATGGTCTTGCTGTCATTCGCCTGTTTACGTATTTTCGCCCATCCTGGTTTTTGGGTTTTAGTTTGCACTTGACGAAATTGACACAAATATCACCGTAGGAGCGCATTATTTTTTTTTTTTTTGGCATCAAAGAAATAGGTGTTCTTGAACCTTTATAGTTTATTCAATTATTTTCTATTTTCTAGTTTTATCCAATTCGATGTTCTTCCAATGAATGATTAAAACGTCATTTTAAAGTAACATATTTAATTTTTTTCACTATCACTTGTGTTTAAAAATAAGTGACAATTTAGGGAGTGTTTGATAACCATTTTTATGTAAAAATACATTTTTGAATAGTAATTTGATGGGAAGTTTGTGGTTGAAAAATAAAGAAAGGTTTTTGATTTACGTGTAATATTATTTTAATGAAGAATGTGTGATTAAAAAGAAGAGAAAAAAATGGGTATCAAACGGATATTAATATAAAATGATGTTTCAATCATTCATTGATGGATAGCAAATTTTAACTCATTACAATATGGGTCAAGAGTCACAAACCAGGTTGAAAAGTAATTTTATTAATTTTATATTCTCTCAATTTCTATCTAGACTAATGACAATGGTCAGGAAAGTAACAAGAAACAAGAAACTTGAACATTTAAGGTTAAAACAAAACAACTATTTCTATATTTGAAACCTTCGCACTCAAATAAAATAATAATAGACTATACAAAAAAAATAAAAATAAAAAGGTGTTTATGAAGATAAATCCCAAGTCCTTCAGACAGCACAAACATGCAAGAAACAAAAATTATAAAACTATAAAGGGACTAAACTGCAAAATGTCTTTTTTAACAATCTTTCTAGACAAATGTCCTCCATAAATCTCTCATCGGATTAGAACCTTTCCGCACTTTTACTTTCTTGATCCTGACGTGATCGTAACCGATTCCTCTTTCATTTCGGCAAAGGCTTTTCACATAATATACTGTTATATTGTACATGGCAGAAAAGAAATCCAATA